CTTCAGCAGAAAAACCTGCATGAGTGCCCACACACCATACTCAAATACCATCTCACCACTGACTACGGCTCCAGAACAGTGTTAATGAACAATACTGATATAGCCAGGAGATGGAAAGACAAAAAGAAAAAACAGTACTTCTTTGATTTTACAAACCAGAAAAAAATAAATAAATAAAAAAGCACATGTTCATCATGATCCTCCAAGCTATCCAGGATTTACCAAAAAACAAACAAAAAAAAAAAAAAAAAAAAAGAAACTTGTTAAATCCAATACAAAATCCTAAGAAGAGTATAATTCTCTATTTTAGATTTAAATAAAATAAATGTGATTTCCAGTTTCCATTTCAACAACATTTTACTGTTAAGTTTTGTAGGTTGATCTTCATACACATGCAAATTTCTTCAGAGTCGATCCTTTTGTTTCCAGAGTTGTGAGGTAGCCCCTTGGGATCCAGGCAGAAAGACAAGCAGAGGTGGGTGTGTCTGTGCCTTTCTTCTGTTCCCCATTTTCCATTTTGTCATGCTCTTTGTGTAGGTGTTGGCTGACATCTCAAGGCCCTCAATCTGTCTTGCCTCAGCTTCCCATTACTTTAAGCCCAAAGTGGAACTGGTCTACTTTGGGGGAGGAGACTTTGAGGGCCAAATGTCTCAGTCGGTTTCTCACTGGGTACACCATAAATTGGATCTAGAGATGTCTATCCATACAGGAAACTAAAATGAAACACAAAAAGTATTCCTGTCATTACCGCTTTGTGGAAAAGTGTGCACATTTGTTGTTTCTTTATCTTCATTCATTCATATCTTTTCCCATCATCCTTAAACAGCATACTATTAGCATCTCCTCCCATTTATCTATATTGTCCCTGTCCATTTGGAAAATTCAGTCTTTTTCTGTCCTTCTGAAAAATCCTGTCCATATTTAAAGTCCTGTCTTAAATCATGTCATCCTCTCTACCCCTTTTCATGTTATTCTGGTTCACTATTAATTCTTCATCACAGAACTCATATAGTGCTTATCATCTGCATTACCCACTGTAGTCATTAGCTCCTGATTTTATTGTGCTATTTTATAGCTCTTTATTTTATTAAGGGGTTGAAGAACACTGTACACTCCTAGAGGGTTTGTACTATAACTTCAAAGCCTCATGATACCTCCTACATTATAAGATGTGTTGCTGAAGTAATTCCAATAAGTTCTGTACATTTCAAACAATTCTCAAACTGTCATGCCACTCTAAACATTCACTGATGATTAATCAAATTGCTCAGGAAATCTCATAGTTCTCTGTGATTAAGTGACATCAGAGGTGCATGTTAGAAAGGCAGATTCCTGAGTCCTCCCTCCAGAGATTGCAGTTTATTTCAGTATGAGCTTGAAAGGTTTCTTTTATTCTCTTTCTCTATTTCATTTTCCTTCTTATTTTATTTTTGCATGTTATTTTTGTAGTTTTTATAATTGACAACAAGTAATTCTGAGCCAGGTAAGCCAAGGACCAAACTCTGAGGAATGCTATAATGCAAGCTTCAGATATTTTCATTTATGAGGTTCCATAGGCTTAGGGAATACTATCTCAAAAAGCATGTCTGCCCTCTCAGTCTGAGTTTTCTTATGTGATATTTGGTCATACAATCAGCAAAGGTATTGTAAGCCTCAGAGCAAATGCCTTAAAGTGGGGAAAGCAGAGAGAGAAATGAGAATATGAAGCCTGGCTGCCCCTACGCATTGAATTGAGTGGTCTGGATTTGGGGTTCAGATAAATTTTACAAATCATTAGTTCAACAGAGGGAAAAATCACCCTCTTAGGTATCCAATGAATTGTGAAAAACTCTTAGAAGCATTTGTAAAGGAGACCAGCTGTACTTCCTTAGCCATTGATTGATCAGTGAAGCATACAATTTGATTATTGTCTTTTCTAAAATTCTTTAACAGTCATGGCTTATTAGACATAAAACCATCTACAGTTGTCCTATTCAGGATCAAACTAAATATATGACTCAGTGAGCCACTGCCCACACAGGGCAATCTTCAGTTTCCCCATAGAAAAATCTTTGAGGGTGGAATTTGTTAGCACAGAATGTCAAAAATGTTCAGTCACTCATTAAGTGCCTTGTTATGAGGCCTTTCAGACTCTTCCCACCTCATGAATCTTTTACACTAAACAGCAGCAGAGACTAGAAACTAGGGTGACACATAAGAGATGGTGGGTATGAAAAAGTGACTTGATGGGAAAATCTCTGCATGGAAGTCAGGAGACCTTGGTGCCCATTCCCAGCCTGCAAGAAATCTCAATCATGAACATTTATTGAGCACTTTGCTAAAAGTTTCACTGTTTCTTCATTTTTTTCCAAAAAATGCTGTCATATTCATTTTGGAAATTAAGAAATCATGTCTCAGTAAATTCAAGAGATCTTCCCAGTGCTACATAGTTACTGAGTGAAAAATGTGGCACATATGCACCATGTAATACTATGCAGCCATAAAAAGGATGAGTTCATGCCCTTTGCAGGGACATGGACGAAGCTGGAAACCATCATTCTCAGCAAAGTAACACAAGAACAGAAAATCAAATCCCGCATGTTCTCACTCATAAGTGAACAATGAGAACACATGAACACAGGGAGGAGAATATCACACATGGGGCCTGTTGGAAGGTGAGGGCTTGGGGAGGGACAGCATTAGGAGAAATACCTAATGTAGATGACAGGTTGATGGGGTGCAGCACACCATCATGGCACGTGTATACGTATATAACTAACCTGCACATTACGTTCTGCACATGTACCCCAGAACTTAAAGTATAATAAACACACACACACACACACACACACACACACACACACGAAAATTAAAGCCAGGATGTTTAACTCCAAAGCCTCCTCTGAATCCTCATGCTCGCCTGCGATCACTTGAACCACATGATAAATGTAAGTAACATAAAGTGTAGGTGTGCAATCATGTATATGTCTATGTCAATGTTTTTGTGTATGTATATTCCAGTTCTGTATTGCCTTACTTGTCTTATAGTAGATATTGAATTTTTTGTAAAAGTGTAGGATCCTAAGGTTGGCTTGCAAAGAAAAATGTCTCCTGGAGTCAGACAGGATATATGAGCAGAGTTATGTGACATAAAAGCAACAGGTATCGCCGAGCTATTGACAGGAGCCCAAAGCAACAGGCTTTTAAGTGTTACATGGAACACAGGACTAAGATCCACAGTATTTCTCAATTGTTTCTACATAGTTTGATGTGAAGCCTTTTGATTTTAAAATATTGTCTCAAAAAACATATGCTTATCACCAGAAAGTCTGTTAGCTGCTGGCTTGATGTAGCTGCATTACAAAAATACAGTCTTATTGTTACAAAGAACCCTTGCATTAGGAGGCAGGGGAATAATATTTTTCACTTAACTTGCAAAACATCACATCACCTTTGCAGGATCTCAGTTGCCTCATGCCTAAAGTCGTTCTGACAGGAGGTTGTTCTAGATGCTTTTCCCTGCTTCCCAAAGCCAAAGTGTTTAATTTATGGCAGTGTGTACATGAGAAAATCTTTTGTTCTCTGTGATCAAGAGAAAAAATAATTAGAAAAAGCAATGCAAAAATTCAAAAGTAGGCCAGACGTACAGAAAAAGAATGACTTTTCTCCATGAATCACTGGTATTTTAGCAGTGAATATACACTGGACAAGCATTAGGTAAACAAGAGGTTGTTATGTCAGGAGGGTGCCTCCAAGAGGGAAGGAGTTTACGGTGATGGAGTCATTCAGACTACTAAGGTAGTTATCTCTATCTCTGCTCTTTCATTTCTTTGTATAGAATTGGTTATTCTCTAGTTTGCCTTAATTTCAACGTTTAAAGATTCCTTTTAGTGATTATTGTAAGACGAGTCTACTAGCTATGGGTGTCAGTTTTTGTTTATCTGGGAGTATCTTAATTTCACTTTCAGTTTTCGATGGAGTTTCATGGGAGATAAGAGTTCTTCACTGAGAGTCTTTTTGTTTTGTCACTACAAATATGTCATCTAATTGCCTCCAGTTATGTCTCTTCTCTCCTCCTACGATTTCCTGGTACAGATTGGGATGCTGGCTGATTTCCTGAAGGATACTGAGGCTCTTTAAATTTTATTTCATTATTGTTTCTTTTTGTTCCGGGGACTGGATTGTCTTAATTGATATATATTCCATTTCTCTGAGTATTAATTTCCTACCTGCTCAACCATGCTTTAGGCCCTTCTACTGACTTATTTATTTCCTTGCTGAATTTTCTTTTCTTTTTTTTTTTGAGTGGGAGTTTTACCCTTGCTCTGCCTGCAATGATGTGGTCTTAGCTCACTGCAGCAGCCTCTGCCTTCCAAGTTCAAGTGATTCTCCTGCCTCAGCCTCCCAAATTAGCTGGGATTACAGGCACCCACCACCATGCTTGGCTAATTTTTGTATTTTTAGTAGAGACAGGATTTCACCATGTTAGCCAGGCTGGTCTCAAATTCCTGACCTCAGGTGATCCACCGACCTTGGCCTTCCAAACTGCTGGGATTACAAGCATGAACCACTGTGCCCAGCTTCACTGCTGAATTTTCTACCCCAGTATTCCTCTTTGGTACAATTTTAAAACTTCTCTTTGGTACATTTTTAAAACTTCTGTGTAGTGATCATCTCTATTTGGCAAGACCTCATTCTCACACTTTCCTCTAGTTCCTTAGATGTGGTTTCCTTTAGTTCTTTGAACTTATTAAAAATAACTGATTGTCTAGTAAGTCCAATGTATTTGCCTCTTCAGAAGTAAAGTCTATTGACAGATTTTAGTTTTCTGTATATGGGCCATACTTTTTTTTTTTTACGTGTCTCATAATGTTTGGGGGAAAACTGGACATTCTATTAATACATAATACAATAGGACAATTCTGGAAATCACATTCCTCCTCACAAGATTTGTTGTTGTTATTTTTTGTTATAGTTGTTGTTGTTATTTTTTGTTATAGTTGTTATAGTTGCTAGGGACCTAGCCTCGAAGACCTCTTCAATTTCTGTTCAAGAATGTTCACAATGAAAACTGTACTTATGGCTGACCACATGATCAGCAGAATTGAGTATGTGCATACAAAAAAATTTATACACAGAGACATTAAACCAGATAACTTCCTAATGGGTATTGGACATCACTGTAATAAGTTATTCCTTATTGATTTTGGTTTGGCTAAAAAGTACAGAGACAACAGGACAAGGCAACACAAAGCATACAGAGAAGATAAAAACCTCACTGGCACTGCCCGATATGCTAGCATCAATGCACATCTTGGTATTGAGCAGAGTCGCCGAGATGACATGGAATCATTAGGATATGTTTTGATGTATTTTAATAGAACCAGCCTGCCATGGCAAGGGCTAAAGGCTGCAACAAAGAAACAAAAATATGAAAAGATTAGTGAAAAGAAGATGTCCACTCCTGTTGAAGTTTTATGTAAGGGGTTTCCTGCAGAATTTGCCATGTACTTAAACTATTGTCGTGGGCTACGCTTTGAGGAAGCCCCAGATTACATGTATCTGAGGCAGCTATTCCGCATTCTTTTCAGGACCCTGAACCATCCATATGACTACACATTTGTTGGACAATGTTAAAACAGATAGCAGCACAGCAGGCAGCCTCTTCCAGTGGGCAGGGTCAGCAGGCCCAAACCCCCACAGGCAAGCAAACTGACAAATCCAAGAGTAACATGAAAGCTCGTAAAGATGAGAAGTTGGATCCACTCAGTTGGGATGTTTCCTTGGAGGGGGGGAAACTGTAATTAAACTTGTTTAATCCTTAAAAAAAATAGTTGTTTGTTTAACCACTTTTATAATCTAAATACGAAAAGCCTCCATTCTTCATTGAGTGTGGCTACTGAGGCCTCTGTTAAGTTACCGTAGTTGTCAGCTAATCACCTGAGGAGGATGCTGTCCTTAAATGTCTGAAAACAGTAAGTCTCCAAAATGAAATAAGGCCTGTGGTGTGATACATTTCAATTTCATAGAGGTTGGGATATCAAGCAGCTCAGCTCTGCTCACTTATTTGGTTTATTAATTTTTCCAGGATTGGAAAACAAATGTGAAAATCATTTTTTTTCTTATCAAGAACACAAAATTTTTCTAAATGTAAATGTGTTCTCGATATGTAAATATCAGCCAGGCCTTGGCAATTTTTCTTCATTGTCAATAAATCAACGTATAACTACCATGGTTTTCAGCTCTTTTACCAAACAGAGGAGCTTGGCAATGCTATCAGAAAGGATCAGTGATGCATTTATTACATTACAGCATTATATAGACTAAAGAGAAAACAAATTATATAACATCATATATATATGGCATACTAGATATATTTCATTAAGATAAATATGAAGTATCAAACCATTAACTCTAGAGGTAAAATACTTCTGGAAAGAAGATGGCCACAACTATCTTACATAGTTCTGCTAACTTAGATATTTTGAGTCAACCAACTACAGGCATTTTTAAAACAGAGTGAATTGGATGGCATCTAAGATAGGATGTATAACATCTTTTTTCACCATGGTCTTGGGCTATGTTGATATCTTCTTTATGTTGTAAATTGTATATACGCTTTCTGGAGATAATAGCTTAGAATACTGACCAAAAATAGAAACTTTATGAGAAAAAGAAGAAATAAGGGAGGAAGATCAATAAGGAGATTGTTAAGATGGAAAAGAAAAAATGAAAAGCGATGCATGGGTGTGAAGGTTACTTCAACATCAGTGTTTGTGTCTGGCACCACTCCAGGTATGTGGTAAATTCCAAAATCTTTTCTGATCTGAACTGAATTTAGTAACTAATTTGATAAATAGAAGTTAGCCTAGTAGGAGACCAATGAAAAGGTACAGGTTTGGGGTAGGTTGAAATTGTTATGATTGGTTTAAAATTGTTGGCTTTTCTTGTTCTTGTGTCAGTTTGCTGAGAATGATGGCTTCCAGGTTCATCCATGTCCCTACAAAGGGCATGAACTCATCTTTTTTTTGGCTGCATACTATTCCATGGTGTTATATGTGCCACATTTTCCCCATCAAACACCGCATGTTCTCACTCATAGGTGGGTGTTGAACAATGAGAACACATGGACACATGGAGGGGAGCATCACACACTGAGGTCTGTGGGGGGAAAATAGGGGAGGGACAGTGGGCAGTGGGGAGTTGGGGAGGGATAACATGGGGAGAAATGCCAGATATAGGTGATGGGGAGTAAGGCAGGAAACCACATTGCCATGTATGTACCTATGCAACAATCCTGCATGTTCTTCACATGTACCTCAAAACCTAAAATGCAATACAATATAAAATAAAATAAAAATAAAATTGTTGGCTTTGCCAAGAGTCTATTACTCTAAGCTGAAGGAAGAAAGAAAAAAAATGTAAGAGAAGGCCCAAAACCTTGAATTGTGAGCTGTATTTACATTAAATGATAAACTCTGTAGTCAAAGAATATCTCAGAAGATTTAAAAATATGTTTTTATATACTGTTTTTTTGTTTTTGTTTTTTGTTTTTTTAGAAAAGACACGGAATGATTCAGGTGTTCAAGATGTTCATTTTCTTCTAAATCCATCCTGCTGTCTCTATTCCAAGGTTTAGGCTCTTATTTCTTTCCAGTGTTCTAATAACCACATGAAGGGTTTTGTGACTATAAATCACATTATCTTGTAATCATGCAGCTGATGCTATAAAATTTGGACTTATTTTTTTAGAGATAGATGGAAGAAATAAGATTATAATTTCAGGTCACCATTGAAGCTTTCCATTACTTAGCCATTGAGTTGATCTCAGAGACTAGAGACTAAGTCTACAATTTTTTTTTTGAAAGCTCCAGAGCAGTGAGTATTGGCCATCTTATAGGCTTCATAGTCTTTATTATTTCTGTAACATAAAGTACAGTTACCACCTAGTGCCCAATGCACTTGCTCTTAGTGCCCAATGCATTTGTACTAAGATCTTTGCCACAGTCAACCACAAGTGACATTAATTGTGATGAAACTGAGTGCCATGGATTGCCATTTCCCTTGTTTCTTTCAGTAAAGAACTCAGTTCTAAATTCAGTGCCAAGTACATCATCAAACTATTCCCATAAACTATGCACAGGTGGTTCTGCTGCCTTGGAGGAGGCTAGTTTCAGGAACTAGATCCTTTAACACTGCCGCTTCTAGAGTAGGTGACTTGCTGACAGAAACAGTGAACAGAACAGTAAGGAGTCATTCCTTTTCCCCTTCCTGTGTTTCTGTCTTCCTTTTGTGCATTTTTCTAGGGGACTTAAGAGGAAGCCATCTAATGACAGAGAAGATTTTTTTGCACTGTCTCATTATGAAGCAGAGTACAGAAAGATAAATTTGAAAGGCAAAGGAATTGCTTGAGTATTGGCATACCTTCATAGGCAGCAATGAGTCATTTTTTAAAGTAAGCTTATGTGTTTCATGTATTGAGTATATTTGTGTATAGAATTGGGAGTGAATCTCTAAACGGAAGCTCGAGTATGAAATATATATGTGTGTGTGTATAAAATGTTTGTGTTTATATCAGCATGAGTGGGAAGAGAATAGAGGGGGGAAATAATGTAAACATAGTGCAGTCAAAAGTCAGAAATTTTTAGTTTTCCATAAATCTATCAAGAAAAATTAAGTGTATATTTATAGGTATATCTGTTTGTGTGTGTTTGAATTCTTACCCAAAAAGATTGTTTGAGCTTAAACGTAGAATTAAACTTGAATACACATTTACTTAAATCAGTTATATCCCTGTTTTGGGAAAAAATTATTTTACTGAGGTAAGTATAATGCACTACAATATAATAAATTATTATACCAAATGTATTAGATGTAAAAATTAAAGTACGGGAAAATTGGAGTCTACTTGAATTTATAACAAAACATTTTTTATCAAACCATTTATCATTTACAGTAAAACAGTATTTTGGAACCAAAATACAATAAGCCTTCCAATTGGACTGTCTATTTATAAAAGAGTACGCCATTTTGGACCTCTCACTTGAGTATTTTATTGCATTTCTTAGGTTGAGTCATCAAAAATATCCTACTGGCCATAATACAATTTTGTATAAACAGTAGTTCCATTATTCCTCTTCAGGATGTAAATGGAATCAGACATGCCATTGCCAAACTTAAGGATTCTGCATAACTCATGCATTCTAGAGCATACACAAAATATAAAACCGAGTCTTTGAGAAAGATGTTTAAGACAAATAAGCGCCAAGGAAAAGGAAGGAGAAATTAGATTTTGAAAGCCAAATTGTTTGTTGACAGGAACACATTATGGTTTTTACTCTGTTTCTACAAAGAAATTCACCAATTTTTGACAATAAATTTGAGGAAAAGGAAGAGGAGCCTCTGGAGTTGCCTGGCTTCAGGGTTTCAGAAAGGGAGCCTTGGTGTGCTGAGATATGCTCTTAGAAAATTTCAAAGCTCAATGTATTTTTTGAGGTTTGGTATCTCAAGTGCATTCCAAGATTGATAAGCAAGTTCAGGATATTCCAGAAAGAAAAAAGGAAGATAACTTACTTTATCATAGACAATGAGTTTTTAGATTGCACATAATTTAAAAGAGGATATTTATAACACTGGAGATAGCGATTTTTTTTTGAAGAAATTACATTCGAACCAGTGAGAGGTGGTATGAATTCCTAGATGGAAAATAGTATCACTTTTACATTTGAACTGTTTGGATTGACAGAATTTAAAAAAAACAAAGCAGAATCAGTAAAGTCAAATCTTTTACATTGTCATCATCTTTTTGATGAAGATATCTTCTTACATCTGTCTAAAATATTTTATTTTTTGCTATAAAAGCCTTCAATATCAATTGATATTTGTATTTTTTTAATCATACAGGATTGATTACTTGAGCTATAGTGATCTACAACTAACAAAGTAGACTAGAAACAAGCTACTTGTTGATGAACATGAGGCTTGGCTAGTTCCTAGTTGTTTGGATTCACATTCCTCATGGGATGTCTAAGATACCCTCTTCGTGCTACTTCGAGCTTCAGTGGCAGGATTATCATATCCAACTGCATTTTTTAGGCTGATTAAGTGAAACAGCTCCACTGAGTCAAGGAAGGCAAGCCACTAGAAACTTTCCCATTTATGTCTACCCATTCTCATCCCTAAAAAGGTTGTGACTTAGTTAATATGCCTGTATGTCATTTTACCTAACAATAATAATCTCCCATGATGGAGTTACAGAAAGATAACTATGGCCACTCTATATGCTGATTTTGTATTGAGATAAAAAATTCTCATGAGAAGTGAAACAGTGAAAAGTCCTTGGTATTTTTAAATACATATGCAATGTGCAAATACATGCACCTGTATTCTATGAGCATTATTACGCATATAAATATTTACATATTAACTATTCATATAGTTAGGGTATTTGATTCAGACAGAGAGAGAGTATCATTTTTTGTTTTACAAAATGTTGGACTAAGAGCTAATTGTTTTCTGGAATCTGAAGTTCTTGTCACTTAGAACAAATGATAGCCATGCACAGCATTGGAGTAGACAGCTTCAGGTTGAGAAGAGGGTCTTTACGGTCCATTTTGTTTATTTTATGTGCCTTTTTATGCTTTACCAGGGGAAATGCCTTCCCCCTGCCTTTTTTTTTTTTTTTTTTTTTGAGAAGAGATTTACTCTTTTGGCCCAGGCT